ATCGCCTTATCTTAATACTAAACATTATCTCCTTATCTTAATACATCCTTATCTCCTTTTCTTAATACAAAACATCCTTATCGCCTTATCTTAATACAAAACATTATTTCTTTATCTTAATACAAAACATCATTATCTCCCTATATTAATAAAAAAAACATTCTTATCAACTTATCTTAATACCTCATGTGAAGATTTTAAGTAATGTCTATTATAAATATAATATATCAATACTGGATTTCCCACTCATTCTGTGATCACGTGACAAAGGGCATGCTAAAGGACAAACTCAGTCAAAGCAAGTCGAGTATACCATTGTAACATTTTGATTCGGATACGAAGTCTTCATCCCCGATTACCTGATGAGCAACACTAAGAATCGTGGGAGATCTGGCACAGAGGAACAGGGGCTATTGCTTACTTCCAGAACCAAATCGTGGATGAACTTTAGGTGGAGAGGATCGTCGTGTTTTGAGCAAGGGATTAGCATGGGAAAAGCATAAACAAGTTTTGATAATGACATGCACAGGACTGCTTTGAAGGGGAATGCATAAACATATGTCCATATACAAACAATTAACATAATAAATACACATTCTTGTATACACATCGGACATGTTCTTGTATAATACACATAGTGCCATCATATTGTACGTCATCAACACAATGACTATATAACATATAATTCCACCAAATTCTGAATGACATATTCTGGTATAACGATGCCTAGCAAATGAGAACCAGGCATGACAAAATGGCCCTTTCAGTGGCAAAATGAAACTGATTTACAATTGGACCTAGATTGCTGATATACCTACACGATGGTTGCCAAAAAAAGGGTTAGACTAGCTAATGAGGGCATCACATTCATTATAATCAGATCTGTTACTCTGATATGAAACTTCTCTACGGAAAGAACCTCCAAGGTGGTTGTGTCAGGTGAACCTCCTTGTCAGCCAATCAGAGTACAGGCTTCGAAATCTGTACGATTGATTGAAGCATTCAGACAAACATATCTGATTTCTGGATCTCGAAAACGAACATAATCGGGGTGTTCTGAATGCAAAAAATAAAGCCTGTTACTTATATTGTTGTGAATATTCCATACACCAAAAGGATGTACCACTGAGGGTTTATCTGTGTTCAGTGGCTGTTTTCTGAGGCCTAGATCAAAATTCTTAATTGGGTGGTCAAAGTTCACTCTGGAACCACCTGCCGTGACATTTCATGGAGGTGTCCTGAGATCTTGATGCCCAGAGGTATGATATCGGTGTAAAAGATCTGACTTTAATGAGATTGTGAGGGCATAATATGTACATCTATGATACACACAGGGTTGAGATTGGAACCTGGACATGTAAAGTTTTGTTTATCATAATAATGTTATGGTCAGAGATTTTTTATGGCCAATTTCATTTGCATCATTGGTCGGTCAACTTTCGGAGTAGCTCAATATTGCATTACTTCATTTGGCATGACATCTTTTGTGTCAAAATGCTCATTCTGTGTGTGTGTGTGAGTTTGTTTAACATCGCTTTGAACAGCATTTCAGTTCCATCACGTGTAAACTCATAATGGGATGAAGGGCCGAAATGATGCATGTCTCACTCCTCTTAGACATTTACCACTTTGGTTAATGAGTGAGTGGTTACCATGGTTACTCTGGACTGTGCTTGTTTTAACATATCTTTCAACCAAATTATCATGTAAAGTACGTTATTAAATTCCAGGGATTTACCCCGGAACCTATTTTCATGTCCAGGGGAGTGAGTGAGTGAGTTGGGTTTAACGCCACTTTTAACAGTATTCCAGTTATAATACGGCGTGTCAGTTTAATGTGGGAGGAAAGCCTGAACTGATGCAGGTCTCAGACATTTACCACTTCGGTGAAACCCACGAGCACAGGTATGGTGCTGACAAACCTAGAAACATAGTCAGGGCAAACTGGGATTCAAACCCTCTTATTCTCTGGTGAGTGAGTGAGCGAGTTTGTTTTTACGCCGCTTTTAGCAATATTCCAGCAATATCACGGCTGGGGACACCAGAAATGGGCTTCACACATTGTACCCATGTCGGGAATTGAACCTGGGTTTATGGCGTGACGAGTGAACACTTTAACCACTAGGCTACCCGACCGTCCCCACTAATTCTGTACAATGTGCAGGGAGTTTAGTATTTTGACAGTTACAAGCATATGGTCTTACTTCTGAGAAGACTTCTGTCATAGTTATTTTAGCCATGTATGATTTATCGAGTTGAAGTTTTTCATTTTTCTAATTCTAAAATATACAGCAATGGAGCAAAAAAGATAAATTTGATCTATTTTTATAATATTTTCTGAATGTGGCTGATAGAACACTGCCAGTGTTGAATGGAGCCAGTGACTGGCCCCTTAGTGGAGAAACATACAAGCTAATTTTAAATACTGTATTCGACTCAATAAGCGCCCACTGCGATATTGGCTATTGAACAATCCCAATTAGCACCCCTTCCTATTGATCAATGTACAGACTTATTTATTTGTGTATAATACGCACTCGTGTGTTATATGCACCCTTAATTATGGGCAATTAAATTCTGGAAAAATATATCTGTTGTTCAGAATCATTTCAGGGTGTGAGCATAAACCACAAAATTTACGATATTTCAACTGCTATTTTCTCTAAAATAATATTCTAATAAGAGCCCCCTATTCCCAATTTTGAGAGCGCCCTGGGCGCTTATTACGTGGAATACGGTAATGTGCAGGACTCTTAGTATTTTGTAAGTAACAAGAAACGTAAATGACATTCTTGTCTTAAGTGAGTGAGTGAGTGAGTGAGTATGGTTTTACGCCGCTTTTAGCAATATTCCAGCAATATCACGGCGGGGACACCAGAAATGGGCTTCACACATTGTACCCATGTCGGGAATCGAACCCGGGTCTTCGGCGTGACGACCGAACGCTTTAACCACTAGGCTACCCGACCGCCCCTCTTGTCTTTAGAAGAAGATTGCAGTGACCAGAGACAACATACAATGCATCAGATGTAATCATAAAAATTATCCTCTGTGTGTGATTACTGAAACTCACAAACTTGGAGTTACAACAAAGTGTTTGTGTGGCTTGCATCAAACTTGCTGAGACAGCTAGTAGCACGAAATAGACCTGGCAATGTTCTCCCTTCAGGAATACTGGTAAACTGAAAACTACAATACGCTGCTTGTACGTTTGAGCTTGTTATTGAGAATAGGTTAAAGTCCATTAATCATTGATCATAATAACATTGTTCCAACAATCATTTAGTACAGCTTTTAACTTGATTAGAAACGGCAGGTTATTCATGATGAGTGTGATAATGTGAATTGATGAACACTTAAGATAAATATACACACAGTCTCCACACTTCCTTGAATGAAGTTGACCATCAGTAGATGATCAGTGCACACTAAATGCTACAAAGGTTCATCCCTTGGATCAGTGAGGTGGGAGTGACATATATAAACAGTGACCCTTAAAACAATGGTAATGCCACCTGCTCAACCCAGTTGACCAAGTACTTAGGGAAATTGAAAGAAACTGATTTTCCCCTAGACATCATTAACAAAGATTTAGATATATACTTTAACTGGAAATATCTCCCCAGCAAATCTCGACCATACGGTAGATATCAATAATAAGAATCAATGTTTTTGTAGTCACTTTGCAGGTGGACTATCATGAAATTTTGGTCAGTGCAATATTATCTATATTATCAGAAATATTTAAATGTTTTTTACTAAATATTTAGTTAGTGAATTGGGTTTAATGCCGCTTTTAACAGTATTCCAGTTATATCACGGCGTGTCAACTTAACATGGGAGGAAAGCCCGAAGTGATGCAGGCCTCAGACGTTTACCACTTCGGTGAAACCCACGAGCATGGGCATGGTGCTGACAAACCTAGAAACATAATCGGGGCGAAACAGGATTCGAACCCACAATCATAGATTTCTGGCGTGCCCAAGGGACACAACTCTGCACAGCGAATCGTGGCGCCTTAGACAACTGGGCCATCCGTGCTCCCACTAAATATTTTGACTTGTTGCGTGGCTAGTGAGGCATGTTGATGACATAGCAGCCCACAACTATGTACTTTCTATCTCATGATCACACCAGGGATGCTATACAATGTTTAACAATTCAAGTTATGGCAGGGCACGACAAATTAACCATACGTGTCGGAAAGGTCTGGTACTTACCTCCCTTGTTATATGCCATATAGTCCGCTAGACAAAAGATGGCATTACAAACAGGGAGGTCTGTAGTGATATGAAAGAATCAGGTGGTCCTTAACTACTTGTGATTAGTGTGTATATCAGATTCAACAGTGTCATCAATAAAGGGTTGTGTGACAGAAGTCCAGGCTATAAAAACTTTACAGGAGCTCCCAGCTTGACAAAAGTTGGTGCATCAATGACGATTTAATTTTTAATTAATTAGTGGGAAAGTATAAATGCTTATACTGTCGGAAGAGTATGATGTTTAGTAGTTTTATACGAGTAGTAATGCATATATACTCCTCAAAAGAAGTTACCGGTAAACAACACCAACTTTTTCATACCACTGTAGTTAATCTGAAAGAATGAGGTGTTTTTTGTTTTTTTGGCGACACTTTTTTTATTTCTTGGTTTACGGATTTCAAACTCATTTCAAAAGTGAGGTAGGCCAATTTAAAAAAGAAAAGAAAAGAAGCCTCTCAAATTTTTTACTTGAATTTTGTCCTAAAAAGTTTGGTAGGTATGAAACAAAATATTCTGGAGTAACAAAAGCAAAATAATTTTTCAAGAATATCTTATTATATATCCCTGGCACTCGGCTTGTGTACAAATGGCAAAAAAACAATATGGCCGACGATTAAACTGTCACCACAGCACTTTGCGTTGACAAGCTTTTATGGATCCCAGCGAGAAATATCAGAGTGACTTCCCTTTGGTTTATGCTCGCGTAGCAAATGAAATTTTTTCTTTTTGGGGGGGAACTTTTTATGTATACTTTAAAGTAAAGATCGGGGGTAATAAAAAACGGAGTGATTTGTATTTTTTTTTTTTTCCAACATTTGGACTTTAAAAGAGCAGCACATCCGTAAACCAAGTAATGAAAAAAATGTTGCCTTATGAGTAGCATATGAGTTTACTTCTGAGAAGCTTGTTTGGTTTACCAGAGGTTTGCAGTGGCAAGATACGACTAGGGTACATACAATGCACCCTATCAATTATCTAAACTGTTTTTTGTTACTTTGTATCCTGTACTAGTATCTTGTTATTTTTGTATATCCATAAAAATTGAAGCAGTCGGGGGAAAAAACACAAATTTATAAAACTATCATTATTTTATATTTTTTATCGCAAATTTTGGCTCCGGTGGTCAAATTCGTAAACTGATAAAATATTAAAAGTCTTATATTTTATCCCTATCATTAAACATGTTAATTCTGCTTACAGAGAGACCCATTTATCCAGACATCAGACCCCATTTATCCAGACATCAGAGAGAAACCTGCCGGATGATATTTACAAATGTGGCCAAGCTATTCCCTGGTTATTGCTGCCATTTTCTATCCTAAAGTGACCCTGTCTACCATTGTGATTGTTGTGGTTACTACACAAGCCACACAAGGCTTTCATGTCACTTTCATTAACTTTCACCAAACAAAAATAGTTAGGGATCATGAATATTTCTTCATAGTGTATGGCATACAAAAATATTTCATGACCCCTCACTTTTTTTTACCAGCATAATCAACTATTCCGTTCCATTTCATTTGAAAGAAATGAAAAAAAAACACCACTTACAAACAATAGTTCATATTAAATATTCTGATCTAATAAATAGGTGCTTGAAATTTCATATCAGTGTTCCCGCTTTTTAGATTATAAGACCACTTGAAAGCATCAAATAGGGAAATAGTTTTGATTTATACATTAAGACCCAAACAACAAGCAGTAAAAGATAAATAGTAAATCCACTTTGTGAGAAATTGGTTTCTTAATATTAGTTCATGATTTTTACTGACATAATATGTGTGGTGTGGTGGTGTCTACTCCAGGCTGACTTTGGTCTTGTTCATGACTGTGTGTTTAGCCCTGCTGAGTCTCTTGTGGTAACTCTGTGCCATAGAGTTGACTATAGACAACACAAAGTATATCACCATCACAATCACCACCTTCTCGAATATCCATGACAACACGTTGGTGTCCTGCAAAAACAATCAGAAACATGAGATCTATTTACCATCGTGAGTGAGTGAGTGAGTGAGTTTGGTTTTACGCCGCTTTTAGCAATATTCCAGCAATATCACGGCAGGGGACACCAGAAATGGGCTTCACACATTGTACCCATGTCGGGAATCGAACCCGGGTCTTCAGCGTGACAAGCGAACGCTTTAACCACTAGGCTACCCGACCGCCCCTTTCCATCGTGAGCTGTGATTAATTAGGAGATAAACATTGATAAACATACTGCATTTTCTTGAGTATAGTGCTCACCCAAGTATAATACGCATCCCCCTCTAGGGGATTCAGTATTTTTTGTAAAAAAATTTTTTCGAGTATTATGTGCAGAAAATAACTACACCGTACCCCATCCGCAAATTCAGGTAAACGAATGTGCGAAAAGAAATTAGGTCAGTACTGTCTTTTTAATGTAGATCTAAAAGACCTGTAGATTTAACCAAATAATAATTGAATTGGAACCAAACAAGCAGCTTGAGGTTTCAAGTGTTGAAATTAGGGCGATTAAATCTACAGGTAACCTAGTTCTACATTGATGCATATATTGAGTGAATGCATGGGTTGAGTCCATTGTTCTGAGTGGGTTGTTGGTCTGAATTACGGAATCCCCGACAACAGTTTTCAAATAAAATATGTCGCTGAAAATGCTCAAGCAGTTTTTTTCTACACCTTAATACTTTACTCAAACATGACAGGTGTTTGAGGAAAGCCCAGAGTGAAGCTGCCCTTTGGTATTAGTGTTGTATAAGTAAGTTGGTATTGTTTGTTGTTTTACGCCGCACTCAGTAATATTCCAGCTATATGACAGCGGTCTGTAAAATAATCGAGTCTGGACCAGACAATCCAGTGATTGACATCATGAGCATCGATCCACGCAATTGGGATCGATGACATGCATCAACCAAGTCAGCGAGCCTGACCACCCGATCCCGTTAGTCGCCCCGTACGACAAGCACAGTCGCCTTTTACGGCAAGCATGGGTTGCTGAAGGCCTATTCTACCCTGGATCTTCATGGGTATGGGTATAGTGCTGACAAAGGGATATAATTGTATGGAGTCTGGGTTCCAACCCAACACCAGCAGATCCTGGCACAGCTAAGGGAGATAAATCAGATCATACAAATCTGTGATCAATTGACATAGTTATGCCTTTATTTCACAGCAAATGACCTAATATGGAAGATGAGGCCTCCTTAAAAATATTTTTCATGTTTATTTATTATTAGTAAAAAACTAAAATATTGCGGTTTGATACTGATGATCATGTAGATACTGTGATATAGACACAGCATCAACTCACCGATGGTGCCCCTGTGCCCATCTTGTGATGCAACTTCTGTTTCTGGTGCTCCAACCACTTGGCGAACGGCGTCTGCAGCGACATCCCCACCATTGGTATACTCCTGGGGAACAGAAAACACAAATGTTACTCCAACCAATTCTCAAAACTATGTATCCCAAGGAAAAATCACTCTCTCCATAATGACATACAGTGATCCCTCGCTACAATGCTACCTTTGGGGTCCAAATAATTGATGAGCGTCATAGATGATCAGCGGTTTAATGAAGGTTGAGTCGTAGGTGGTAGATGACAAACAAAACAGTATACATTCTCTGCCTGCCTAACACGATCTACGTTGCAGGTTTCAGAGTTTCAAAAAAGATTAGAATAGAAGTTATTTATGATTCATAGTGTCAAAAAAGATTAATCGAGTGTAAATATGCGCTTTAAAAAAACAAAAACATATCGTATCCCTTCAGCGAATTCAGGTGAATAAACAGGTATAACAAACTGGGTCAATAAAAGTATGAAATTTGATATGAAACATCAATAGACATGATGATTTACCATTTAAAATGTATTTCCTGCTCTCCAAGGCATTGTTTCATATGCAGAGATTAAGATTACCGTGTGTATTTTCTCGTAAACTAAGCCGGAAAAAGCAATCAGCTGTGCACACGTTTCCTCCGTATCTACCAGTGATTCGGTTAAAACGTACCCAATGATACAACCTCAAAGCATTTTGATGTTTATTGGTTACATACTAGTTTGAACACACACCCCCCTCCCCCCCACCCCCACCCCCCCACACACACACACACTAAAGTCAGTTTACTCTCTTGCCTCGGGGAAGATGAGTGATTATGAGCATCGATCCACACCATCGGGGTACAATAACACATAATCAACCGATTTGCCCAGTCTGACCATGTTATCCATTAAGTTGCCTCTACAACCTGCATAGGATACTGGGGTCCAATTCTAATCCATAGTCATATGGTCTTCATGTTTACTGTGATCATGACACAAGTGGGAGTGTTGTTGTGTTTACTGGGATCATGAACCTGTAGTCACATGGTCGTCAAGTTTACTGGGTCATGAACCCGTAGTTGCATGGTCGTCATGTTTACTGGGTCATGAACCCGTAGTCGCATGGTCATCATGTTTACTGGGATCATGAACCCGTAGACACATGGTCATCGTGTTTACCTGGATCATGAACCCGTAGACACATGGTCATCGTGTTTACTGGGATCATGAACACCTAGTCACATGGTCGTCATGTTTACTGGGATCATGAACCTCTAGTCACATGGTCGTCATGTTTACTGGGATCATGAACCTCTAGTCACATGGTCGTCATGTTTACTGGGATCATGAACCCGTAGTCGCATGTTCGTCATGTTTACTGGGATCATGAACCCGGAGTCACAAGGTCGTCATGTTTACTGGGTCATGAACCTGGAGTCATATAGTCGTCATGTTTACTGGGATCATTATACAAGTGCGAGAGACGATGAAATACTCACCCTAATAATCTCACTATACTTTCCACATGTTGTTTGCTAAACAGGAAAATAACAAATAATTTCTGAAACAGAAAACACACACATTACATTAAGTATAAGTATAACAAAAAGCCACAACATTTGTAAAGGAGTTTTGGGGGGCAACTCAATAAGCCCTTGTTCTATCTAGATATATGCATATTCATAGCTATATAGCTAAAACGGATAGAAATATCATTAAACAGCCTGCATGTTATCAGAAATGAGCAGGCCACTGTAACTTGATAATGCCCTCATTTTGCTTGACGACAGGCCATTATCACTCCCATTGTTAGGTGACGTCATAGGGATAGGGAACGTCACGTTCAATAGTGACATCCTCTTGTTTTGTCTATGACGTTTCCATATTTGTTAAGGTGGGTCAGTGACATTCGTGTTGATTGCAGTAAATGTTTCAAAACTGATATTGTTGTTTCTTTTTATTTGATAACAAATTCCATTCATTTTAGCTATAATAACGGTAAAGCTATTTTTCAGGGCATTATCATTTACAGAAGCCCTTCGGCGGGCAGTTAATGGAAGACCTCAGGCTTCTGCAAATGATAATGCCCTGAAAAATAGTGTTACCCAGGCCTCAAAGTTGTGACTAAAACAGTCGCCAATGCGACCTAATTTTCCTTTCAACAGTCTAATTCAGGGGTAGCCAAATGACTACCTTGAAAAATATATTGTGGCGACACAAAAATAAACATGTCTGCTACTAATTGTACTCGCAAAACATTCCTCCTAAAGTCAACAATGAACCAAAATACATAAATATTAATGTAATTAGTATTTTATTTCAGTTGACAATGCTCATTAGCTAAGCAAGGATATACCTATATAATCTAGTAACATAAATTGCATCAATGTTCGAGTCACAAATAACAAAACCCAAGTACAGTTTCCAGTATGATACAATTCCAATACTGGCGCTATGATTTGATCAAAGATAATTTCATATGCTTTTGGCTACCTACACTATTGGCTTGATTTCTTAACTTTACCACTGGCTACCTGGAAAAAAATACCTGTACCCATATGGCTACTTGGTAAAAATTTAAACTTTGAGGCCTGTGACCTTTATACTAATCCTATCAATTAGGGGCAAAGCATGGGTTGCTGAAGACCAAATCTAACCCGGATCTTCACGGGGGACAAGCATGGGTTGTAAAGACCAATTCAAACCCGGATCTTCACAGGGGACATGCACGGGTTGCTGAAGACCAATTCGAACCCGGATCTTCATGGTGAACAAGCATAGGTGGCTGAAGACCAATTCCAACCCGGATCTTAACGGGGGACAAACATAGGTTGCTGAAGACCAATTCTAACCCGGATCTTCACAGGGGACAAGCATGGGTTGTTAAGACCAATTCTAACGCAGATCTTCACGGGGGACAAGCATGGGTTGCTGAAGACCAATTCTAACCCGGATCTTCACAGTGAACAAGTATGGGTTGCTAAAGACCAATTCTAACCCGGATCTTAATGGGGAACAAGCATAGGTTGCTGAAAACCAATTCTAACCCGGATCTTAATGGGGGACAAACATAGGTTGCTGAAGACCAATTCCAACCCGGATCTTAACGGGGGACAAACATAGGTTGCTGAAGACCAATTCTAACCCGGATCTTCACAGGGGACAAGCATGGGTTGTAAAGACCAATTCTAACGCGGATCTTCACGGGGGACAAGCATGGGTTGCTGAAGACCAATTCTAACCCGGATCTTCACAGTGAACAAGTATGGGTTGCTGAAGACCAATTCTAACCCGGATCTTAATGGGGAACAAGCATAGGTTGCTGAAGACCAATTCTAACCCGGATCTTAATGGGGGACAAGCATGGGTTGCTGAAGACCAATTCTAACCCGGATCTTCACAGGGGACAAGCATGGGTTGTAAAGACCAATTCTAACCCGGATCTTCACAGGGGACACGCATGGGTTGCTGAAGACCAATTCTAACCTGGATCTTCACAGGGGACAAACATTGGTTGCTGAAGACCAATTCTAACCCGGATCTTCACAGGGGACAAGCATGGGTTGCTGAAGACCAATTCTAACCCGGATCTTCACAGGGGACAAGCATGGGTTGTAAAGACCAATTCTAACCCGGATCTTCACAGGGAACAAGCATGGGTTGTAAAGACCAATTCTAACCCGGATCTTCACAGGGCACAAGCATGGGTTGTAAAGACCAATTCTAACGCGGATCTTCACAGGGAACAAGCATGGGTTGTAAAGACCAATTCTAACCCGGCTCTTCACAGGGAACAAGCATGGGTTGCCGGTAAATTTTCTTGCCGGAGCCAGGGGACACGCATGGGTTGCTGAAGACCAATTCTAACCTGGATCTTCACAGGGGACAAACATTGGTTGCTGAAGACCAATTCTAACCCAGATCTTCACAGGGGACAAGCATGGGTTGCTGAAGACCAATTCTAACCCGGATCTTCACAGGGCACAAGCATGGGTTGTAAAGACCAATTCTAACGCGGATCTTCACAGGGTACAAGCATGGGTTGTAAAGACCAATTCTAACCCGGCTCCTCACAGGGAACAAGCATGGGTTGCCTGTAAATTTTCTTCCTGGAGCCAGTCAAACCATGGTAGCAACTATCCACATGTCTTACCACAAGCACATAAACACATACTGGACATATCTCTTGATCAGGAATACCCACACTGGACCTATATGCAATTTTGTGATTGCTATCCCACTATTAAACACTTACCCTACCTCAAAGTGTTGTATATGATTACTGTCCCTGTTACGAGAACAAATCTTACCTGTATATGCATTTTAATAATGGCTTTCCCTATAAGTGTTGCCCCAAAGAATGTCCAGAATGGAATGAGGAAATGACCGCAGGTGATGCCTGCCAGGTCAAACAGCGGGTTTGGGATCTGGAACACAAAACAGGACTGGTTCAGATGGAGAAAACCTTACCATGTTTCATACAGAAATGTCAGCATAACATTCAAGGACTTCTCAATTTTAAATGCTTACTTCCTTGACGTTAATGTTTGTTTATCATCAAGGTTAGGACCGCCTCCGTGGTCAAGTGGTAGAGCGTCTGCCCGGACAGCGGAATGTCTCGGCCCAACATAACGTAAGACAGGTACTTTTTCTAGTCGCCAGTGGCAACACTGAATGATGTTTAACTTCTAATTGTTACAACACTCATCATCATGGATGAACAAATAAGAACTAATGTAATAGTTACCATGGTTACTTGTGCTATATACTTACCGAAGCACAGGCTAAAATCCCAAAGAAGCCAACTCTCTGTACGAGATTGTGAACTGATAACTTAGCCTTCTCCATGAATCCCTGAAACAAATGTGATTCAGTCCTTAGCCATATTATTATATTATTTATGATGACAATTTCATACAGATCCAACTTCTCATACAAGTCATTAATATAATTTTCAGGTACAATTTTCTTACTACAGGTGACAGAGAATCCACCATTGAGACCCAATGTGATATGGGATATTTCATGAGTCGAGTGAAATATCATGTTTCTCTCACCGAGTGACGGGGGGAAAGGAGATATTTTCACTCGTGGCTACGCCACTCGTGAAAATATCTCCTTTCCCCCCGTCACTCGGTGAGAGAAACATGATATTTCACTCGACTCATGAAATATCCTATTTATCATATACTTTTGGTGTAGTTGTCTGAAGGAAGATTCAATTATTTCATTACAAATGTAAAACCTTCAAGCGTAAATTCTCCCTACATAACACACATGGACGGTTTTCCAACCCCTGTAAGTACGACTAAAAATGTAGTTCCGTCTTTGCTAAATCTTAAAAAATATATATAATATATAAACAAAAGTAACCAAAAATATTTGATGTCACTAAAATTCTTTAGTATAAATTTGGATATGATTATATACAAAATCAACTTCATCAAAAAATAAATTTCAAATCAATGAGGCGGTTGTTCGAAGCGAAAGAATACACGCAATTCAAGTAACAAAATGGCGCTTTGCGAAACGTAAAGTATCGACTGGCAAATCAGAAGAGAAATTCACAGTTTAATACAAATCATTTTCAACAAAATAAACAAACGGTAAGAATCGGTATTAACTACATAAATGACCATCTGTCATTATATGACTTGTCAACGTTGAACTGACGTAAATCATCAGTTTGTGTACGAGCTGTCTCGTGTAGGCCAACATAGTTCCGTCAACGTGTTATGTTCACTGCAGTGAAATATCAGGTGTTTTGTTCACTGCAGTGAAATATCAAGTGTTATGTTCACTGCAATGAAAATATCACTTTTCTCAACTTCAGAAAACTCTTTCACACTGAAGTATATAATAAATCTATCTTTCTTCATATAATCACAAATTATTCCATAAAAATAATACCGAAAGAACAATGCTGCTTGAAGCGTTAAAGAATGACTTATTATAGTGGTTGTTTTTTAAAATAATATTGAAATCTGTTAACTGGCTTATCATGCTTACCAGGAAGAAATTAAAACAGTTCTTTCTACTCCAAGTGTATTCAAGTTTTGGATAGAGCGGTCCACCCTAAAGCTACCTTCTTGTTAATATCAACACATCCTCCTAATGCTGGTCTCCAAACACCACAAACATCACTAAGGGACTCACCAATTCATCTGGGTTTGCTTGTTTCTCATGAATCAACTCCTCGATCTCCTCGAACTCATCCTCCTCCAGGTCGGCCCCGGACAATCTGGCTGCTCTCGCCATGAAGTAGGGAGGCAACTCTCCAATAGCAGTACCCGCTCCCTGAAACAACCAACATGGATTAGCAATTCTCAATACAGCGAAGCACTGTTAACTTAGAATGTACTGCTTCTTGTGAAACCTTCTGATAAATAACGTCCTGCTTCAGTAAATCGTATCCCTTTGACTTTATATGATTGTAAGCAAAAGTAGTTGCTAGAAGGCAGGGTTTCCGGACTACCATGGTCCAATATGGTGCTGACTAACAGGGTTCAGACAAACAGGGTCATGACTAACAGGGTTCAGGGTTCAGACTAATAGGGTTCAGACTAACAGGGTGTTGTCTAACAGAGTCCAGACTAACAGGGTTCAGGGTTCAGACTAACAGGGTTCAGACTAACAGGGTCCAGACTAACGGGGTTCAGACTAACAGGGTTCAGGGTTCAGACTAACAGGGTTCAGGCTAACATGGTTCAGGGTTCAGACTAACAGGGTTCAGACAAACAGGGTCCAGACTAACAGGGTCCAGACTAACAGGGTCCAGACTAACAGGGTGCAGACTAACAGGGCGTTGTCTAACAGGGTGCTGACTAACATGTTACTGACTAAACGTTCAAACTGACAGGTTCACACTGACAGGGTTAAGACTAAAAGGGTCCAGACTGACAGGGTCCTGACTGACAGGGTTCAGACTGACAGGGTCCTGACTGACAGGGTTCAGACTGACAGGGTCCAGACTGACAGGGTCCTGACTGACAGGGTTCAGACTGACAGGGCCCTGACTGATAGGGTTCAGACTGACAGATGTGCTTGCTGTTTAACGCCACTCAGCAATATTCCAGCTATATGATGGCGGTCTGTAAATAATCAAGTCTGGACCAGACAATCCAGTGATTGACAACATAAGCATCGATGACCCAATTGGGAGGCAATGACATGCATCAACCAAGTCAGCAAGCCTGACCACCCTACTGCAAGCATGGGCTGCTGAAGACCTACTCTCACTCTGATCTTCATGGGTACAGACTGACAGGGTACAAACTAACAGCTGTTTAATGGCACATTCAGCAATATTCAAGCTATGACAGCAGCCAGTAAATTATCTGGGCCAGATAATCCTGTGATTGACACCATGAGCATCGATCTACGCAATATGGATATGACGTCAGCGAGCCTGACCACCTGATCTTGTAAGTTGCCTCTTACGACAAGCACAGGATGCAGAAGACCAAATCGAACCCGGATAATCACGGGTGCAGCCATGGATGTGGAGATCACTGACCCACATGACAGCTTCTACCCTGACTTTGCTCATGATGGTCCAGAGTGTCATGTACTCCTCCTCCTGTTCCGGACAGATGATCCTGGGAAGGAAACAAGAGTTGAGTTGAGAACTGACTTCAACATGGTTTGCTTTTGTGGAGGTATAAACCTAAAACCACTCGTAAATAAAAACAATAATAACATTAAACCAGTGTTCCCATTTACCGGTAATTACCAGTTTTTTACCGGTATAATTAGGCTTGGACCGGTAATTCATGTGACTGCAAGTCCCTCTGGACCGGCAAATAAAGTACCTTGTAAATCTTTGTTGTTGAACAAAACATTGGCGATATTCATATAAGTACATTTTTCGAATGAAGTCAGCTTGTCTGTTACCATCAGTGTTTCCCCTTGACTATTTTAATTGGAAGGAAATAACATTTTGCTTTGTTTCGAGGTTAAATATCCATTTGTAGCAACTTCGTCTTGAAATATTAAAAAAAAGGAGAAAATTGTGACTGAAGTTAGTGTGAATGATGTATAGATCAAATATTGGGTATTGACAATATTTCTTTGAGTATTCAATGTACTTTCATTATCTTGGATCCAGAATATTGGGTATTGATAGTTTTCTTTGGTTATTCAATGTACTTTCATTATCTTGGATCCAGAATATTGGGTATTGACAGTTTTCTTTGGGTATTCAATGTACTTTCACTATCTTGGGTCCAGAATATTGGGTATTGACAGTTGTCTTTGGGTATTGAATGGACTTTCACTCTCTTTTGTCCAGTCTACTGTTAATTGTGGTCTTTAGGAAATACAGCCACGCAAGCTTAGTAATAGCTCAGTGTTGTTATACTTATAATTGTTTTCTTAAGAAAGATATTATTGTGAATTTTATGCAGGCATCTAAAAAGTTAATTGGGCAATTGTGACTTACGCAAATACACAGCGATTCTGGAGCTCAGGCTCCTTGTCCTAACCCCAATGTTAAAAAAATTAAGGGGCACCTAGCTTGACATGTTATAACAGCCAGCCTGAAGGACCTCATAATTTGAACACTGCTACCATGGACATGACATACCCACCAAACAAACGAAAAGAGGCTAAATAAAAAAGTAATCCCAGGACATTTTAAACATAAACATGATACTTTTTATAAAGCAATGAAGTATACATTGGGTAAATAGGCTCTAGTACCGTTGGCATGTTTACCGTCTTTTTGCGATATCTTCTTACAAAAGTCACCTTTTACCAAATCAATAATGTTATAATTGTTCACAATATGTCTATCATGTCATAAGACACATCTGGATTTGTGACAGTGTTGGACAGGCACTCACGAGTTTGGGTAGGGAGGTTCAGGAAAGTCCACAGACATACACTCAAAAGCAGCAAGCGTCACGGACGCTATGTGTGGACCCTGGAATAATAAACACTCAATAAACATACCATGATAGAAGGTGAGATGAAATGGGGCTAAACATTATGTTTCATAGTGCTAGCCCACTGAGATACCATGCTGCAGTTTAACATGGATACCCCACTCAGACACAGTATGTTGACTTTTGTCAGTCCTTGTTTTAGCCCCTTAATGCCAAGCAATAGACAGGGTAACAAGAAGTTCCATCTTTTAACATCCTATTTATGACTTTGCCGAGGATTGAACCACCTGCTACACTCAGGGCAGATGCTCTATCCTCTTTACCGTAAAGACAGTCAGATTTATCAGATTTGATTATTTGATTTTTCTCTTAAAAAATCTATAGGGTTGGTGGTCAAGAAATAATTTTGATATTTTTTATGTGATATTTTGATCAAGTCTAGGATGAAATCATGAAGACTTATTCATATTTCAACCTGAATCAAACAACAAATTTCCATTATTTCATTTTGAAGAAAACAAGGGGAAGTCTGACTATGGGTACCATGTTGTACTGACCAGATAGAGGAGGAATGTGTGAAGCCCTGTGCCCAGTCCAACTGATGAGAGAATACCCAGGCCCATCCAGTAGCCACACCACAGCAGGTGCTTCCTTATAAACATCACCATCTACAACACAAGGAGAGAGGTATAACATGGCATCAGTCAGTGAGAGATGAGAGAACACCCAGGCCCATCCAGTAGCCACACCACAGCAGGTGCTTCCTTATAAACATCACCATCTACAACACAAGGAGAGAGGTATAACATGGCATCAGTCAGTGAGAGATGAGAGAACACCCAGGCCCATCCAGTAGCCACACCACAGCAGGTGCTTCCTTATAAACATCACCATCTACAACACAAGGAGAGAGGTATAACATGGCATCAGTCAGTGAGAGATGAGAGAACACCCAGGCCCATCCAGTAGCCACACCACAGCAGGTGCTTCTTTACAAACATCACCATCTACAACACAAGGAGAGATGTATAACATGAGGGTGTTAGACTGATTTTTCTCCTAATAAAACCAGTATTTCAGTAACATCATGGCATATAAGTGAGAAAAACTTAAAGTGATGCAGGTCTTAGACTCAGGACGGGATCTAAGGAGTTTGCACCCACAAACACAAGTTAGGAGCTCACAGATTACAGCAGGATCTATGGAGCTGAACCCACAAACACAAGTATGGAGCTCACAGATTACAGCAGGATCTATGGAGCCGAACCCACAAACACAAGTATGGAGCTCACAGATTACAGCAGGATCTACAGAGTCGAACCCACTAACACAAGTATGGAGCTCACAGACTACAGCGGGATCTATGGAGCCAAACCTACAAACACAAGTTAGGAGCTCACAGATTACAGCAGGATCTATGGAGCCGAACCTACAAACACAAGTATGGAGCTCACAGACTACAGCGGGATCTATGGAGCCGAACCTACAAACACAAATATGGAGCTTACAGATTACAGCAGGATCTACAGAGTCGAACCCACAAACACAAGTATGGAGCTTACAGACTACAGCGGGATCTATGGAGCCGAACCTACAAACACAAATATGGAGCTCACAGATTACAGCAGAATCTACAGAGTCGAACCCACAAACACAAGTATGGAGTTCACAGATTACAGCGGGATCTAAGGAGCTGAACCTACAAACACAAGTATGGAGCTTAAAGCCTACAGCGGGATCTACGGAGTCGCACCCACAAACACAAGTATAGAGGTCACAGATTACAGTGGGATCTACAGAGTCGCACACACAAACACAAGTATTGAGCTCACATATTACAGCGGGATCTAAGGAGTCACACCCACAAACACAAAAATGGTGCTCACAGATTACAGTGGGATCTAAGGAGTCGCACCCACAAACACAAGTATGGTGCTCACAGATTACAGCGGGATCTAAGGAGTTGCACCCACAAACACAAGTATGGAGCTCACAGATTACAGCAGGATCTACGGAGTTGCACCCACAAACACAAGTATGGTGCTCACAGATTACAGCGGGATCTACAGAGTCGAACCCACAAACACAAGTATGGAGCTCACAGATTACAGCAGGATCTATGGAGCCGAACCCACAAACACAAGTATGGAGCTCACAGACTACAGCGGGATCTATGGAGCCGAACCAACAAACACAAGTATGGAGCTCACAGATTACAGCAGGATCTACGGAGTTGCACCCACAAACACAAGTATGGTGCTCACAGATTACAGCGGGATCTACAGAGTCGCACCCACAAACACAAGTATGGAGCTCACAGATTACAGCGGGATCTAAGGAGTTGCACCCACAAACACAAGTATGGTGCAAGACAGAACAAGGATAATAAGAGTGTGATCTAAGGATCTGAACCCACAATCAGCTGCTCCTTGCAGGGACACAACATAGCAACAGGGTGTGATTTGCCATTGACAAGACTGCACTGGTGCAGGCTAAAATCGGCTTGTGCGGCCTTAGTGTATATGCAGGCTGCGCAGACGGTGAAATGTTCCACAAACAGGCTAATAAATATCACTTGCTTCAAAATTTATACCATGCGTACAAGATCTAAACATACTGAAATATTTCTTTGACTCTACACGACATTCATGTTTACATCCTGTTGATGTACACTACAGATCTTCGTTATCTACACGTATAATTTTCCAGTAAAGTATGTGGTGCAGCCAGCTTGTCTGGTGTGCAGTCAGTTGTTAAGGCAGCCTGCACTAGATGCAGTGGAGACAAAAGACGAAAACGCACCCTGGTTTGACAATGCACTTACTGGCTGGTGAGCTCCCTCTACGTTATAGAGAATGGTGAGGATAGCAGTCAGTACAAGCACAGCCAGGACAATCCTCTTCCTCCTCCACAACCTGGAAAAATGGGTGTAGTGAGTGAGTGAGTGAGTTGGGTTTAACGGCGGTTTGAACAGTATTCCAGTTATATCACGGCGTGTCAGCTTAATGTGGAAGGAAAGCCCAAGTGATCCAGGTCTCAGACGTTTACCACTTTGGTGAAACCCATGAGCATGGGTATGGTGCTGAGTCTAGAAACTTAATCGGGGCGAACTGGGATTCGAACCTATGATCATAGGTTTCTGGCGCACGCAAGGGACGCAACTCTTCACTCGTGCCCCCTGATGCACCAGATGTCAGGCAGGTTGGTTGGTTGGTTGGTTGTTTAACGCCGAACTCAGCAATATTACAGCTAAATGACGGCGGTCTGTAAATAATCGAGTCTGGACTAGACAATCCAGTGATTAATGTCATGAGCATCGATCCACACAATTAGGATCGGTGACATACATCAACCAAGTCAGCGAGCCTGACCACCCGATCCTGTTAGTCGCCTTTTACGACAAGCATAGTCACCTTTTACGGCAAGCATGGGTTGCTGAAGACCTATTCTATCCCGGAATCTTCACGGGTCGATGTCAGGCAGGCTAGTTCAGGCTTTCAGATGCATTGTGTGAGCAGGGTCATGCCCAATGTGTGGCTCTTAAAGCTGCCAGTAGCATCCAATAGATATAAGGTACTGCGAATCCATTCTAGCTGATTTACTACATGTAGACAAGCATGGGGTACAGGGGGCCTATTCTGCCTTGCATTAATGATCGATGAAGTGAGGTGATATGGGGTTTAACATCGTGTCCCAAGATTTATGCACTTATATAGCGACGTGTATGCACGTGTTGGTATGTGTGTGGCTGCTTGTGATAGTCCGGACTGATGTCGATTTATAGTGCTAGCTCACTGAGATACCATGCCGCAGTTTAACATGAATATCCCACTCAGACACAGTATACTGACGCCGAGCCGACCAGTCCTTGTTTTAGCCCCTTAATGCCGAGTGCCAGACAGGGTAACAACAAGTACCATGTTTTAATGTCTTTTGGTATGACGCAGCTGGGGATCTAACCCCGGACCTTCTGCTCTCCGGGGGGACGCTCTACCACTAGGCCACGGAGGCGGTCCTGTAAATCAGTGGAAGGGAATTGAACAATATCAGATCATCGCTATTCCTGGCAATTCCCTTGTTTTGACTTTGCCGGAATTCCGATTCATATGCATGCAGAAAAAGATCAGCAAGAAGGGGTGCACAATTGGCACCCCTTAATGCCGAGTGCCAGACAGGGTAACAACAAGTACCATCTTAACGTCTTTTGGTATGATGCAGCCAGGGATCGAACCCCGGACCTTCCGCTTTCTAGGCGGACGTTCTACCACTAGACCAAGGAGGCAGTTGGTTGTATGATTGGAAGATAGGTCTAAGGTACTGGGGGCCTACATTACAGACTGATCACACCGTACAGATGTAAAAAATTTAATTATTATCTCACCTTAAAATCAAAGAATTAATCAGACATCCAGATTCGAAGACAAAATAGAAAAGTGTTAACAAAGGTTTCTTCCATAACACCAGATGTTCCCGTTCTTGTCGTTCTTGTTCCCGTAGCGTCTTCATGTCTGTAGTGGAGCCTGTGGAAGATGTCGGTGTATCTACATCACCGTTTGTATTGCTCTCCGATTTTCTCTGACGTATACGTTTCTTTCCATCTTCCATAGTGCTATGGTTTAGCAATCTTGATATCTGAAGAAAATATTAACATAATGAGCAAATCAAGAAATGGAAGGTTGATGACGTAACCATGGCAATTATGATGATTATACGAGATGCAGTTTACACCATGTAAATTGTTCACGTAATCGTGTTTGTGTTTGTGTTTGTTGTGTAATGCCTCACTCAGCAATATTCAAGTTCACTGACATAATGAACAGTGATCCACACAATTTGGATACGATGACTTGCAGTCAACCATGTCGCCAAATCTGACCACCCGGTCCACTTAGTCTCCTCTTACGACAAGCATGGGTTGCTAGGGGCCAATATTCTAATGTGGCATCCCACAGGTTTCAGATAATATTGATTTGGTGGGGTCTTGTCCTGCCTTTGTCAACGAGCACTGTTTCACACAACGCCTCACACTGGGACCTATATACTGGTATGAATTTCTAAAACTCTTAGGTATTACAAATCATTATTCACAATTTCTTGAGTGAGTGAGTGAGTGAGTGAGTGAGTGAGTGAGTGAGTGAGTGAGTGAGTGAGTGAGTGAGTGAGTGAGTGAGTGAGTGAGTGAGTGAGTGAGTGAGCTGGGTTTGACATCGCATTGAACAGTATTCCAGTTATATCCCAACATGTCAACTTCATGTGGGAGGAAAGCCCATGTGATGCAGGGCTCAGACATTTACCACTTTGGTGAAACCCACGGATACAGAACTGACTAAAACCCCGAAGCGCATGATCATAGGTTAGAACCTACATCAAACCGTTGCTCTTAATTGTAATAAAGAAGTTGTTCATCCATAAATCTTATCCTTACTTAGTACCACAACTTCTAAATGCCTCTCAAAGTAGTAATATTCCAGCTATATGAAAGCGGTCTGTAAATAATCGAGTCTGGACCAGACAATCCAGTGATTGACATCATGAGCATCGATCCATGCATTTTAGATACGATGACATGCATCAACCAAGTCAGCGAGTCTGACCACCCGATCCTGTTAGTTGCCTCTTTCGACAAGCACAGTCGCCTTTTACAACAAGGATGGGTTGTTGAAGACCTATTCTACCCCGGATCGTCACGGAGACAAGCATGGGTTGCTGAAGACTTATTCTACCCCGGATCATCACGGAGACAAGCATGGGTTGCTGAAGACTTATTCTACCCCGGATCTTCACGGAGACAAGCATGGGTTGTTGAAGACTTATTCTACCCCGGATCTTCACGGGCGCAAGCCAGAGTGTACTTTGCACACATATACTAGACAAACACACATATGAACGTGATTAATTAACAGAATTTCAAACAAGCTATTTCTTTACTTAATAGAAAAGCTTTTTTTTTAGTTGGCACATTTATCATGTTTATCTTTACACAAACATAGCAGAAATACCCTATAATATATATGGATGCAATTTCATGATCTACTGTTCACGATACATCTCATGTTACTGATTAAACACGTTCAGATAGTTCATGCACATGTAGCCAGAAAAATACCATATTTTAATGCCTCACTACAAATCTGACTTCCACAAACTTTTTTTGACATTTTGACTTTTCCAAAAAATGACATGGCATGACAGATAAAGTTATATGAAAGAATTGGTGATCTTTAACTTTTTTTTGAGTAGTACATTTCTAACCATGCTGAACAATCTGAAATTTTCCTTCGGCTGTGATTTACAATGTGTGAAAAGATACTAAACCCCTGACCAGGAACAATGATCTGGAAGATGAGCATCCTGTTTAACCTGGAAATGGAAGCGTTTGATTCAAACCTGATTTGGGGCTTCACTCCGTGGTACAATTCAACATACTGATGTCAAACAGCATCACTAAACAGGTCAAACCATGTTGTTGTCGACTTGTGTATCTAGCTATCAACTTGAACTTTGACCTCATCAGCAGCAAGCTGTTGACATGTTATTAAGTGAGCGATGTCCCATGTGCACAGCTGTTGATGATGCACGTCACACTTATCACGTTCATAGAGGCGATAGAGGGGCCATGTGTTGAATTCATGAATTCAGTTTATCTACAGAGATACTATTACGTTACCAAGTATGTTGGAGGATCATGATGAGTTACCATGGTTTCTCTGGACTATGCTTCTTTTAACATATATTTCAACCAAATTATCATGTAAATTATTTATGTTACTTAATCCCAGGGATTTACCCCGGAATCTATTTTCATGTCCAGAGGAGTGAGTGAGTTGGGTTTAATGCCACTTTTAACAGTATTCCAGTTATATCACGGCATGACAGTTTAATGTGGGAGGAAAGCCTGAAGTGATGCAGGTCTCAGATGTTTACCACTTCGGTGAAACCCATGAGCACGGGTATGGTGCTGACAAACCTAGAAATATAATCGAACCGGGATTTGAACCCACAATCATAGGTTTCTGGCTTGCCCAAGGGATGCAGCTCTGCACAGCAAATCGCGGCGCCTTAGACTCATGCCCCCCAAGCCCAGGGGACTCTCAGCAACATATCTAGGGGTCCAAGGCTGACTACATGTACCATTGCTGTACTTGATTTCCCAGAATTTTACTGATCATTGCACATACTCAGAAGTCTTAAGCCTACAAAAGATGAAATTTTTAATGTTAAACCAAAGAAAATCCACAACTGACACCCTGAAATTTTTTAGTCTTACCAGAATAGCAGTGTAAGTTTGTTTGTTTGGGCAGCAATATTCCAGCTATATGACAGCAGTCTGTAAATAGTCGAGCCTGGACCAGACAATCCAGTGATAAACATCATGGGCATCGATCTGCACAATTGGGATACAGTGACGTGCATCAACCAAGTCTGACCAACCAATCCTGTTAGTAATCATGGTGATGTGTTACAAGCTATATACAATTCTAATCCTGTCTGATAAATTTAATTATTTATTCAGCAACACTTTTTGGAACTCAAAATCATTTAAGTCCATTCTATAGGATACAATATTCTGCCTCCAGTAAATAACTGATATTTTTCTGACATGCCAAATTAGATTGCCTTGTTATTTCATGCCAAACACATTTGTATGCAGTGATGTGAACTAAAAACACCAAATTGATTTAGGCGTAGTGACTTAGGTTGGTCGATCATTCAGTAACCAAAGAAAGAATTTCTTGTTTTTTCTGTCCCTGTCACCAGAACCAAAACAATGCACTGTTACCATGGCCACAAGAACCAGACAAATGTCCTGTCACCATGGTCACAAGAACAAGAATAATGGACTTCACACATTGTACCCGTGTGGAATCGAACCAGGGCCTTTGGCATGACGAGTGAACGCTTAAACCACTAGGCTACTACCCTCATGGTCACAAGAACCATCTTATCACCATGGTTACAAGAGCAAGAATGGTATGTCCTGTCACCATGGTGGCAAGAACCATATAGAACCATAATGGAAGGTATGAACGAATACAAGCAACAACAGAGCTCCAGATAACTTTTGAACAATTGACATTTTACTTGGCGGTTTCTATTTTAATTGGTTTATTACATTTTTCACTGGGTAACCAATATTTTTTCACTCATCTATTCATCCCTCTATTGGGTTTTTCCCAAAATTAGTGAACATTTTAAGATCTAAAAAAAATAAAATAATGTTTTAGATGTATATAACTGTTTTAAAAATATAGGCTTGACTCGGAAAGTAAATTAGTTCGTAATCGTGTTTCGGAAATTAGCTCCTTTGTACGCATGCTGAAAAAGCTTCATTGGGTATTTACACGAGCTGTTTTTATACATTTGAGTTTTTCATTAAATGCATGCGTTTCTGTACGCAAGTTAATTAAAAGTACAGTAATTGGGTTTTGAATATATGGGGGGGGGGGGGGGGGGGATGTTAGTATTGTTACATAAATACGCTGCTATCTATAGCTCTGCAACAAACATGACAAATTAGGTAAATTGGCAAAGACTAACCATGCTAACATGATCAAGTTGGATGAAACTTATAAAATATACGAAGCATAATAAACATGATAAAAACTAACAATTCCTCATGGGGAATTGTAATGAAAATATGTTAGTAATATTCTTAATTTGAACACCATTTATCACAAGCTGTTTGCATGACAAATCAAAATTGTAATACTATACAAGCAAATGACGAGTAGCAACTTTGAATAGTCAATTGGGTTAGTAGGTTAAAGTTATCAGCATACAAATACCAAAAAATGATTAAACAAAAAAATTCAAATACCTTTGTGATTGATCAAAGACATTCTGAAATATGACTTTGGGTATTCAAAATATAGACAACATTGACATAACCTAAAAGATTGTTTGTTTCAATCCTTATTTTACTCATCCAGTCAGTTTTTTAAAACTTTGGGCAAAACATTAACTAAATAAGCAAGTCTGTGACCCCCAACATTATTTTTCACAGTACACGTTTTTCATTTTTACCTTCATATCCTAAGAAAATCAGTGTGTGCCAAAGGCTTCATGAAACATAGAATCAAACTTTCATACACATTTTAGCCCATCTCGATGTTTGACTTTGTTAGTCTAAAACGCTGATAAAACAGACTGATTCTCATTCATCATTTCATATGAACGCATCAGACTTTCATCATTTCATATGAACGCATCAGACTTTCATCATTTCATATGAACGCATCAGACTTTCATCATTTCATATGAACGCATCAGACTTTCATCATTTCATATGAACGCATCAGACTTTCATCATTTCATATGAACACATCAGACTTTTATCATTTCATATGAACGCATCAGACTTTCATCATTCCATATGAACACACCAGACTTTCATCATTTCATATGAACGCATCAGACTTTTATCATTTCATATGAACACATCAGACTTTCATCATGTTCATACAGACTTCTAACAATGTCTAATAGTTTAATAATTTCAAAAGTAATGATTATCGCATATTAGGGATGAATATTCTCACGCAAGTGTCTTTTGATATCAGATATATCAACACTCTACGATAAAAGTGTATACATGTTACTTCGAGACCATATGTTTCCCTGGGAGGCAAATCCAGTGATTCTCTTCACTGAAATGTTCAATTTGGGAGTCTGTAATCATGGTAATAAATGTTGCCATGTTCCAGCAGGTTCACAGGTGAATTGAATTCGCTGTTTGGAAATATGTCTGATATGAGTTCTAACTGAACCTTGTAACATTGCACCAAAGGCATTAGGGCTGTGTGTGTGTGTGTGTCTCAATTTAACAACCCCCTATTACCCCAAACTGCCTTCACAATTAGATTCGTCGACATTATTTACATTCAGACAAAAAAGAAGTATTAGCTCGCTAGTCTGGGGCTAGTACAGATTCCCCATTGTTTCAACATTACAATGCCATTTTATCTTTATCTTGGCTTGTGAAGCATTTGAGTTTTGTTCAAAACCTGTATGTAGAGGGGGGCAACCATGAATGAATTCTGTTATTGTTACAGCCATTATGAAATATCTCACATAACTAACCACAGGTGGGTACCCGGGTCCTGCTCAGGATCCACCTAACGCAGGTACCCAAGTTACCTGTCCTAGCCCTAAAAGGCATGCTGTGTACCATATACAAGAAAAGATGATAAGATATCTTGTTGTTATCTAGATAAGGGGGATAAGATAAGATATTGTGCTGTTTTGGCAGGTACCAGTGTCTAAAATCTCTTCATGACATTGTGACATGCTTTAGCTATTAGCCATTTTAATGGCTGTCAGGGTCGCGGCTAAAGTTTAAATCAGCTACTACCTATGGCCCATTTATATGTTACTTAATATTAGCTATATCTGATTTTGAATATTTCCCTCACAACCGACTAATGATTTGTTCATGTCGCTACTCACAGAGCGGCATTACCTTGTTACATTTCCATCAGTTTTAATGGCAAATAACATTCACGCCTCGTATTAGTAATGAAATCATAGATAATCGATAAAAGGGTAACAATAGTATAACATCAACCGATCACTCATGCAAACAGAAATGCTTGAACAGGTGACCGGCAACCTACCAACTCGGCCTTGCGGCCTTTAGTACTTAATCCCCTCTTCTTTAATTTCTTTCTTAATTCAACCACTGTTAGGTTTCCCAAATTGCCATTGTCCTCCACCATTCTGCTACAACAAATTTATGTTCGTAGTTAGTAAATAAACTAATTTAGTCTACATACTTTGTGTAACGTGTCCTTAGCTTCTTAGAAACCGGAAGTACATCTGACAAGTAGAGCTAGGCCACAAATATTCAAGTGGGTTCCGTATCTAGCTGATCCTCACCGCAGGGTCGCTGTGGCATATGGGTATGGGGAAGACTCGTGCCACCGATCGGCACATTTGCCGGTAAAAAGTGTCAGTGAGCTGACCCACATCACTGTGTGGTTGTTAATATCCCCTTTCAGCTGTAGCTGTGTTGTGGCGAGACTGTCCTTTATCTGACAGAACCGGGGGTCAGGAGACATAGACTTACACAGGCTTTCCCCAAAGCATTGTCAACATTTTTTAGTTATTATTGGACTTATTCAAATATATTATACTTGTTCACATGTTACATTATTTGTCCAGCTAGTATATATCACCCTGTCCATTCAGATAATACCGTATTCGACGTAATAAGCGCCCAGGGCGCTCTCAAAATTAGAAACAGGGGGCGCTTATTGGAATATTATTTTGATGGAAAAAACAGAGTTGAAAGATAAATTTCGACATATATAAATACGACAGATATATTTTTCCAGAATTTTATTAAGGGTGCATATAACGCACGCGTGCGTATTATACACGAATATATAAGTCTTCTGTACGTATACATTGATCAATCGGAAGGGGTGCTAATTGGGATTGTTCAGTTATATATATTATAATATATATTATCAAATATCGCCGTGGGCGCTTATTAGAGCGGGGCGCTTATTACGTTGAATACGGTAATTTTGTTTCGAACCATACCATAAGAGGAGGCCAAGAAAGTGTTAACTGTGGGGGTTAATAGTTAAATTGAACTCTTTTCAAATGTTCTTCAAACAGGCAAGAACTCCTGAAATATCACCCCTTCTCGCCACCTATATTTAAGCACATTATTGTACACATTTCTGTTTCAGCATGCATGTTCCAGTGTTTTTCTATTGGATTCTCTTATGCTTGTTTTTTTTCCATTTCTCCACTCTGCATGGGTCATCCTGAATACGACATTCACACGTTACCTATATTATTTGATCTGGCTTTCAGTCACCGCCGGCCTACAGGGG